AGTCACGTAAAAGGGAAGTAATAAAATAATAAAAATAAAACATAATAAAATAATTCTCATTCTTTATTATATTATATAATAAAATAATTCTCATTCTTTATTATGTTTTATTTTTATTATTTTATTACTTCTCTTCTACTTGACTTTACCGAAAGAACCAAGAAGATGAATCCCTGCAGTCACGAAAGCTTTAAATCGAAATCTAGATTTGATGTTGATTGTCGGTCACGGCTGACGTCAGTGACGTCATAACCGAACCGGTTCTGAGCACCCCCCCCCCCACAACCCCGCCCTCATGACCCACCCGCACTGACCAGCGTGGTGAAGTATGGCTGAGAAACCTCCTCACAACCAACAGAGCGTGGGTAGGAGGCCTTCACCCAGTCGTGGATTAACAGAGCGCTCTAAATTATTACAGCCAACTAGAGTGATATCTGTCTGCTTATATGTCTGTCTATATGTCTCTGGTTCTGTGTTTTATCTCTCTCTCAAATTTAGCATTTTCAGGAAGAACGTAATCAACCAGGTAGGGTGTTGACTGCTATGTTATCCGACTCTCTGTTGTATTACATTACATTTCTAAGTATACTAGATTTGTGTTTCTATTTAATTTATACCTGATGATGATTGCTTGTGTTCAATCGAAACGTCGTATGCTAGTTTTTTATATATTATTTTCTCTTTATACGTGACTTTACCGAAACAACCAAAGAGTGTATACTCGAGCTTATTGTGAATTACACAGCATGGTAGCCAGTTTCCATCCGGTTGCAATCAAGGTACCGCACTGTTTGAATTTTAGACATGCATAATATGTTCGGGTGAGTGATCTTCTGTATAGTGATGTGTTGTCATTTACAAGCAAATATCTTAGCACCAAGGAAAAGTCCGTGTTACAAAATGGGCCAAAACTCGCCTTTAACAAAGAATCGTTGAGATAAAACTCATGCGTGGCGTTTGGTTTATAGATGTATGCGGATGATGCTCGTAGTGTCATCACGGCATTGGCTGAGCAACTCAGATGAGTCACGCACGAACGCAGGTGCAAATGCAGCGTGACCAGGAAGAGCAAGCCACCCCCTCGTTTGAAATGAGCGCCACACAAGTTCATTTATTAGGTATAGTCCTGTGAGTTATTCGGCTCTTGAATCGGGTGCAACAAACAAAAAACAAAAACATGAACAAAAAAACATCTTAAAGTGAATATGTCAATGTGTGCAAACAGAAAATCCAAGAAAAGACAGAAAAATATTGCAGAAAAAGCACCGTACACCAACACTGTGTGGAAAAATCCCAGTGGGATGCAAGTCAAACAACAACAACAACCACAAGACAACTTAGATTAAGGCCATCGGTCTAACTCTGTACTACAACAAACAAACATGGCCAAACCAAAAAACTTTTCGAAAATCACCAAAATAAAGCCATAAAAGCAATGAAACAGTAATCATACACATGGCACGACAGGCATCACACGGTCGAGGAGCAAGAAGAAGAAAAAGAAGGGCCGAGAGGAGGTGGGGGGGGGGGTTGATGTGGACACGGAGAGGTCAGCGATGGAGGAAACTCCATACGAGACAGAGAGTACGAGGCGATCTTGGAGTCGAACCTGGACATCAGGTTGTCACGTGTCAAACGGTTGCGATGTCTGGCGGAAGGTAGCAGTGACGAACAGCAGTGGGTATCACCGCCCTCGGCTTAAAATTAATGAATTTTAATTTAATTTCTTTACCTACGTGACTTTACCGAAAAAACTAAGAGTACGAATCCTTGCAAGTCACGAAAGCTTCAAATCTAGAAATGATCTATTGACCTTCATTTGTGTTGTGTGAACCGAGTCATTAATTGTATTTGTGTTTACCAGGTGAGAACAGGATGAGCCGAGGGGGCGATGATTGCTGCTGTGTGTGTATGATCTCAATTTAGGAATCTGAATCGATATAAATGTGGAGACTGACGCTAGAACACAATGGTCTACTCTTGCGAATTACGTCAGGTGGTTTAAGTTTGTGCTGTTCTATAATACCAGCGACTTGATGAAATGTTGCTTTATTTGGAAGAATAAAAGTCCAATGTTAGATTCACCACACTCCAGTAGCAGTGGGCGCTAAACGCTTTGTCTGTGTTATAGGGTTCTGGAATAGCTCAGTTTGTAAAGTCAAAACGTCCCCCGTGAGATCAAGGGCCCAATGGATGAAGTGTGTGTGTGGGTGTTTGGTCATCTCCTGGCAACCTTGCAGCCCAGCAGTTTCACCACCAACCCGCGTGACACTGCAGCACCACCGCTGCCCGCTGCCGCAGCCTGCAGCGCCTGGTGACGCGGGTATGGAGCATAGCGGGTGCATGAGGGTGCGGACTTGCCCCAACAGGTTGATAGAGGCTGCATGGGGGGTCTTTGTATTTATGGAGTGGGTGAGCGGTAGTGCAGCGGTTAGTGCACTGCTCTACGAAGCCGGCCACCAGAGTTTGATTCCCGCTCACGGCCAGCATCGGTGGTAAATAAATTAACTGGGTATTTGGTCTCCCCTAGGTTGACTCAGCCTTGAAATGAGTACAGTACTTTGTGCGGTATGAAAAACATCAGCAATGGGGAGACAAAGACAGTCGGGCATGGTGTTGGCTAGCCACACTTCATAAGTACTCACTAACAGCACTTGTATTTTAAAGCCACTGGAGCTATATGTACTTTTAAATCTAAATTTAAAACTAATTTCTTTAAAACAGCTTTTTGTGTTTAGTTTGTTGTCCTTCCCCCGCAACTTCGATTAGCATGGTTGGCTACGTACGGTGCCAAGGAAGTTGAACATACATACACATACTTACCCAAGCAGTCTGTTAAAAGCTACACAGAGGATCTTTGTTTCAGCAGTGGCTTAGCCAGTCAACCCATGACACCTGGGGTTGGCCCGTGACCTCCAGTCAGCAGAGAGCCTTTTGCACTTTCGTGGTGAATGGCCGCTGTTTTTATTTGTGCGTGTATTTATGTACAGCGTGTGATTGTGTTTTACACCGTTTTCAGTGCCGGATTAAGCTAGTGCGGGGCCTGTAGCATATGTCAAAAAGAGTCCCTAAATAAATAAAAAGCACATAAATATTAAACACATATATTTTTAACTTGCAAAGTAAAGTAATTGTATTTTTGCATTTGCTATATAGTTAGATAATACGGCAAATCGCTAACCTTAAACAACTAGTCGTTCATAAAAGTTGAAGGCAGTCGAGTACTATAGTAATAGAGCAAGTGCAGAATCACTGAAACGGAATTGATAGCTTGAAAGCATTTGGCGTGGGGCCCGTAGCATATGCAGCTACTTTTGCTACGAGGATAATCCGGCACTGACCGTTGCTGCCCAAATGCCCAAAACGCCAAATGACCAACAAATCCAGTGGCGGATAAGAGTTAACACGTGACATGAATTGAGCAAGGATTTTGTCATAAGAGCCGAGGGAAACAGACGATGGGAGAGAATTCCAAAGTGGACCAGTGCGAGGAAAGACTCAGAAAGAGAAACGTTGTGAATTGTGGTGTGGTCAGTGAGTGAATGAGTGAGTTTGTGAATGAGTTTGTTGAGTGGGTATGTGTGTGAGTGAGCCGGTGAGTGACTGCGTGGATGTGTACGTGAGTGGGTGATTGGGTGTGTGGTGAGCGGAAGTGTAGTGGTTAGCGTGCTGCGCAACGAACCAGTCGTGGTCCTCCCCTAGGTCGACTCAGCCTCAAACGACTAGCTGCTACAGTGTGTAAAATCGTCGCCACGAGGGAGACAAAGACGGTCGAGCGTGGTATTGGCCACCCACCCCCTAGTGTGACGTGCAGGCCTTCAATAGGTGCTGCTCAGCTAACAGCACTTGCCCCAACAGTCTGTTAAGGCTATACGGGTGATATTGGTCTTTGTGTGTCCTGTATAGTTGAGTGTATAGGTGAGTGTGAGTGTATTATTGTGACCTGCAGTGTGAGTGGTTGGACACAGTGCATGACAGACCGAGTCCTCAACATGGGTGGAGGAATGAGTGAGTGAAATTCACGGGAAAATTAACCATAGCAATAGCGACAGAAAAGGGATGAGAAGGCTACTGACAGAGTGACTGGCACCTGGGTCTGTTCGACGACCTCAAGCCAGCGGGACTTTGACACTTCACCTGGCCTCAAAGTGAACCTAGCATGGCACACTCGCCTTGGTGACATCACCGCCACTTTGTGGTGAACGGTGGTTGTTGTCAATCAGTCAGATGCATCACGTGAGCTGTCATGTGCACAGCAGTGTTTGTGTGAAGGGAGATTACGATTGATGATGAGCAACACTGACTGATAACAGAATAATACACAGGGTAGTCTAGTCTGACGTTCCGTGCAATGTGCCTCTTTGCGGAGAGAGAGAAGCAGTCGTAGTGGATGACACTGGCACTGCTAACGACGTCACCATGAATAAATGATTTCGTGTGTAACGCTCAGCCTTGCGATTGCAACTCTATGGGTGCGCATAGCTCTAAGGGGCCGTCCATAAATGACGTCACCCACCTAGCGGGGGGGGGCGTGTCAGACATTTGTGACGATGTGTGACGAGGGGAGAGGGGGGCGTTTGAGAAACGTGACGTCACCTCAAAATGCGCAACTTTAAATAAATATAGACAACACGTTCTACTTAATTAAATAGACTTTTTAATAAATGTTTTCTCCTACAACATCAGAGTGCAGCGCCACATTAAATACGCACTACAATGACAATAGTTTAAAGCGATTTGAAGCATGTTTTAGTTTCAAAATGGAAATATGGTTTGGGGGGGGGGGAAGAGCTTTGTGACGTCATATTTGAGGGGGGGGTCTGACGTTTTGTGACGCCGTGTGACGATGGGAGGGGGGGTCAAAAATCGTCCAAAATCGCGTGACGTCATTTATGGACGGCCCCCAATCAGTGTCCACCAGCCCCGCCTCCTTCCCCCGTCCTCCCTCCGCCCCGCCAGCCGCTTTGCTCCGCGCAGCCGCCGTCAGCAGACGACGTCACGACAGCATCACGCAACATCACATCTCCCCTCGTCTCTGTGAGCATCATCACCATCATCATCACATCTCCCCTCGTCTCTGTGGGCAACACCATCATCACATCCCCCTCGTCTCTATGAGCAAAATCATTCACATCTCCCCTCGTCTCCGTGGGCAAAATCATCGTCACATCTCCTCTCGTCTCTCTGAGCAAAATCACCATCATCATCACAGCCCCCTCGCTCTGTGAGCAAAATCATCATCACCATCATCACCATCATCACATCTCCCCTCGTCTCTATGAGCAACACCATCATCACCATCACCACATCTCCCTCGTCTCTCTGATCAACACCATCATCACCATCACCACATCCCCTTCGTCTCTGTGAGAAACACCATCATCACCATCACCACATCCCCCTGGTCGCAGCGCGCCTCGCTGTCATCCCACCCCGCGGCGCAAGAGCGCGAGATCAACGCCTCTTCTGCTGCTGCTGCACGATGGTAACGAGATGATGCGCAGGGCTGCGACAGCATCTACGTGCGTGCGTGTGTGTCTTTGCGTGTCTGTGTGTCTTCGTCTTTGCGCGTGTGTCTTTGCGTGCGTGTGTGTGTCTGTGTGTGTGTGTGTCTTTGCGCGTGTGTGTGTGTCTGTGTGTGTGTCTTTGCGCGTGTGTGTGTGTGTGTATTTGCGCGCGTGTGTGTGTCTTTGCGCGTGTGTGTGTCTTTGCGCGTGTGTGTGTGTGTCTTTGCGCGTGTGTGCGTGTGTGTCTTTGCGCGTGTGTATCTTTGTCTTTGTGTGTCTGTCTCCCATGGAGGAGGCTCGTGAATGACGCTCCTGGGCAGCTGGAGGCAGTCACCGTCCAACAACAACAAAATGGCAGAGGAGCCACGCTCACAACAACGATCAGAGTGCCGGGTGGCTAAATCCGAGAGAATTGGCACAGTGGGGAGCACAGGTGGTGCATCTGCCAGCCATCTCAGTCAGTCAACCAATGGCACCACCTGGGTCTGTTCCGTGACCTCTCCCCAGCGAGCCTTCGACCCTTCACGTGGTCTCAGAGTGCACCTGGCCTGGCACAAGCGCCGTGCTGACGTCACCACTACTTCGTGGCGGATAACGGCCGTTGTGTCTTCCAATGTATGTGAGTGGGGAGCGGTGGCACATTAGTTAGCGCGCTGTGCTCCGAACCCCGGTGGACCGAGTTCGATTCCCGTTAGTGACCAATAACAGTGACGAATATCTAAATCGGTAAACTCAGCGTTAACGTAGGTGCTCATATAGTGTGTAAATATCAGCTGTGCTGGCCACCCACCACCCTTTCTGTACCGTGTCGGCCTTCAGCCCGTATGGGCTATAGGCGGGATCTGTATCTCTTTTTAAATCCTTTATATTAAGTTCGCTTGCTTGCTTAGGACCGTGCAAATATTTCGGTCGTTTTTTAACCCACTTCCCGTGATCCAATCGAGCTGATATTTTCCACCCAGACTCGTTGTGCGTGACAATTAATGTTCGTGAAATTTTTTTTCCTAAATTTTACACTTTTTAGGACAAAAATATTATATTTAATTACCAATTGCTTCATGGTGCAATGCAATCATCTGACCCATAGGTGGCAGCCATCTCAAGCCAGGGGACTCTAGCCGCCACGCATATAAAGGATTTATAGTGAAAAACTTTGTTTTTACGGGTTATACTTATTGTGTGTCAGACCACACAGTGCACGACACTCCCAACTAACCCTGATTTTCTTCCCATCCATTGCTGTCTAACGAACATAGGTCCGCTCAGCCTTAAATGCCTTCCGTGAAGACAAAGGCGGCCGGGCGTGGTGCTGCCTAAACCGCTCCCTGGTGTGTCGCGCGGGGCTTAATAGGCGCTCGCTAACAGCGCTTGCCCCAGCAGCGTGGCCTGGATGCACGGGGGGGGGGGGGGGGGGTGTGAGATGTCATGATGGTGCAGAGCGCGGTGCATTGATGTGCACACGTGCAGTGTGTGTGCACATTATGCACATTATGCATGTGCGTGTATGCTCTTGTATGCGAGGAAGTACGCGTGTATGTAATATAGTGTTAGTATTTGCTGCAATTGTGAATGTATGTGTGTGTATGTATGCTGTAGTTACTAGTCGTGTAATGTATGTCCGTTTGTATATTATGTAGCACGGTGTGTGTTCATGCATCACACTGTTAATGTGGTTATACATGTGTATACGCAGTGTGAGTAGATTTAAGGTTATATTTCTGAAGAGGAAATGCAGTCTTGATTTGAAGCCGACTTCAGCATTTTCTTGCCGTGGTTGTCCCACCTGATGAAGAACGCTTGTGTTGCGATCGAAACGTCGTGATTTGTTTAATTTTACTTCTACCTACGTGACTTTACCGAAAGAACCAAAGAGTTAGGAAATACTGTGTCCGCTATTGGCTGAACGACTCGCCAGAGACTGTTTTTGGAATCTCTGGTTGAAAGATCAAGTTTCAAGTTTCATTTATTTGGTATAGCCCTGTGAGCCATGCGGCTCTTAAGTCGGGTGCAACCGCAACAAACAAAATATGAACACAGAGCATCTTAAAGCGACGACGCGTAACAGAAACATCCTGGAATAAACCAGCAAATATTCAAAAATATATATTAAAACGCTGTCTGCAAAAATCCCAATGTGGTGCAAGTCAACAATAAAAACCATAAGACAATTTAGACACATCCAACACTGCTCCGTCAGTCTAGGATTGCATGGTCCAAGGGAAGATATTTAATATTCCAGTCTCATGTGTCTTCATAGATAAGTTTTAGAAGACGTAAACATGCTTTTTACACCTATCATCATCATTATCTCGAGCCACACAATTGTCAACACAGTATCATCGTTATCATCAAAGCCACCACTATCATTATCTCCATTCATCATCTCAAATATCAGCACCGCCATCTCCATTCTCATCCACCAACACTACTCTCATCATCATCACTACGATGTTTCCATTTTTATCTTCACCACTATCATAATCATCTCCATTCTCATCACCATCAACACTATTCTGACCACACAATAACCATCATCTATATAGCCATCGTCATCATTAGTATCACGATCCTCAACAGCATTATCGTCACCATCATCATAGCCACCGTCGGAAGGAACCCTTTGCACCGTCGCTTGTAGATACGATGCCCCACGTTCATTAACATTAGAGCGCCACGTTTCCAGCTGTCAACAAATTATGGAATATATTTACAAAGGCGAGCTTGAACTTATTAGAGAATCGGCACATCATCCCTCTGGCATGAATAAAATAGGCACCACTTTGTGTATAAGTCAGCGGTTGTCCTATGGATAGACTGACCCCGCCATATAAATGGGGAATTTCCACCGCTGGCTCAAGGCTGTATACAGCATATGAGCACCATTGGCTCAATGCTCATTTGAACAGCCAATCCCATTTGCCGAATAAACAATATTATCACGTTGACGATTCCTCCATGCAGAAATAAACATTGCCCGTTTGTGATAATTGTTTTTTTACCCTTCTATCTGGCAACAAAACTGACACCTTTTTTACAAGGAGTCATGTTTGCATAGACCACAATACCTGCAGCCATAATGCAAAAAAAAACATAACTGATAATATATGCACTGTCCTTGAAGTTGATTGGTCCACACCCGATACAGCTTTCCTTAGAGCCTAGTCTCGGGTGTGGACCAATCAACTTCAAGGACAGTGCATATATTATCAGAGTTATGTTTTTTTTTTGCATTATGACTGCAGGTATTGTGGTCTATGCAAACATGACTCCTTGTAAAAAAGGTGTCAGTTTTGTTGCCAGATAGAAGGGTAAAAAAACAATTATATTTTTTACTGGCAAATGAGGTTCCAATGGTGATTGCCCGTTTGTGTTATTTTTTTGTGTTATAAGGACAGTGAAGCCAACGACTTGAAGGCGGCGGCAGGACACGTGTCTGCACAGGATGACGACCGCGAGGGACAGGACAGCAACTGCAACTACAACTACGTGCCCTCGTCACAGTGCGACGCCAACTCCAACAACCACAACATCTACGTGGGCCTCGCGAATTACCATAACGTGAAGGCGAACATCAACAAAGAGAAGCACATGGCTCAGTACTCTCAAATTTCAAGCGAGAATGTGTCACGTGGTCAGAGCACTCACAATGTGGGCAAGATTTTGGACCTAACCAATGCACGTTGCTTTGTGCCGGACAATGGCTTTGGAGATGTTGATAATAGTGATGATGATGATGATGCAAATGATAACATTAAGCGGGGCACCACCCTGCCAGGAATTGCCCCACAACTCGAATCGCTTCGTGGATGCCAAACAGCCTTCGCCGAGGTTTTGAACAGCGAATTAAATCATTCCTTTGATGCGAAATTAAAGGAAACAAACACATACGACGTCGACAAAATGAAACACACCCCGAAAGGACATTCACAAGCTTCCATGTTAATTCTTGATTCCGTGGAGTCTCATGGCTCGTTGGAAATTCCAAAAAGCAAAGAGAAAAACTCTGTTACCAGGGATTTCATAAAAGATTCAAAGGAAGTGAACGTGAATTCAGAAAATGAAGATGGAAGAAATGAAATGGATAAGGAAGCGAGTACACAGGCCTCGATATGTTTGGATTCTAAGGACTTGTACACAGCACGTGGGGAAGATTCTCAATCCTGTTTTGAAAAGACAGATTCCAAAACTGATTGCAAAAATTTGCATGGACAGAGTCCCGGCTCTGAGTTTGTTGGGGCGAGAGAAGGGAAATTTTCTACATTCAGTGACGGGCAATCTGAACACGGTTCACAAGACCTCAACTCTGTAAACATTAAAGAGCATGAACGTAATTCTTCACAAGGCTTTCTCGCTGGCGACGTGGCAGCGGATGATAAAAACCTCACTAAGTTAAACGATGTAAACTCTTTAAAAAATGTTTTCAATCCCAAAAACGACATTTCGAACGCCAAAGCTGACAGTTGCACCTATGTTGAACGTCCGCATGACAATTTCATTCAAATTTCAGACAGAGATTCTGCGGATCCCCAGCGCTCCCCACCACCACCACCACGCACCGGCAGCTTCCCCTCTACCGCGGTGCCGCTAGACGGCGGAGAAGGCGGCGATCGCTCCGGCGTCTTCCCCTCGCCGTCGCGTGCCACTGCCCGGGAGAGTTCCGCACCGCGCCGCGACCCCGAGGCGCTGAGACGGGCCCGGGACGCCTGCGCCGAGCACAGGCAGCTGAGGGAGGAGAGCAGAGCGCGCATGCGGGCCCACCTCATCATGTACCGCCGACTCATGCTGCTGCGTCTTATCCGCGCGCTGCGCCTCAAGACCCTCGAGCAACAGAGCCGGCTCCAGTGCTGCTACGACGTGATCCTTGACACGCGCAAGGAAGTCCTCAAAGCTGGCGTGATTGACCAGTGTCAAGCCTCCGTGTGACGCTGTGCCCGTGCGGGCCCAGAAGCAATTATCTGTCGCCTACTGTTAATGGGGAGGGAAATGGTTATCGTGCTGTGATGTTGTCTTGTTGACAGATTTTCATCATAACGTCAGTGTTATCAATGTTGCCACTAACTTTTCCCGAATGCGACGTGGAGCTCGTGTCCGTAATGCAGTCTCTTGCTGTGACTCCCCCCCCCCCCCCCTCTGTGCAGTAGAAGATCGCTACTCATTCACACTCTCTACAAGGCTGAAAGGGCGTCCTCCCCCCCCCCCCCCAAGAATAAGCTACTTGCTACTCATTCACACTCTCTACAAGGCTGAAAGGGCATCCTCCCCCCCCCCCCAAGAATAAGCTACTTGCTACTCATTCACACTCTCTACAAGGCTGAAAGGGCGTCCTTCCCCCCCAAGAATAAGCTACTTGCTATCATTCACACTCTCTACAAGGCTGAAAGGGCGTCCTCCCCCCCCAAGAATAAGCTACTTGCTATCATTCACACTCTCTACAAGGCTGAAAGGGCATCCTCCCCCCCCCCCCCCAAGAATAACCTACTTGGTGCGGGACACACAAACAACAAATATTGCAGCTCAAAAAAGCATGTCCTCGCTTCAGTCTGCGCTCCAAGATCACCTACGCGTATTCATGGGACGAGACGGAAAATGACACGTGGTGCATGTGACAAACTAAACAAGAGAGTGAAAACAATCCACAAGTGTGTATTTTTAGATACTCTAATTAAGCTCGTGATAGCGTGTCCTGCAGGCTGACGAGCAAAACTGTAGTAGCCGACTCTATTGTGATCCTGGAGCACGGTGTATAGACCAATTTCCTGTCTTTGTTACATTAGCCACAATTGTGTTCTAGTATTAGTGTCGTTATTTTAAATACGTATAGCAAATATGTGCACAGTCTGATAAGTGGCTATATTTAAGTCGATGTTTGTGGCATGCTAGTTAAAGAGAAAATGAAACATTTACCAATACATTATATGGATTATTTACTTCTGTACTAAACCGACGAAACCCCCGGGAGAATGTGGACTGGATTTTAATGGTGCAGTGAACAAAAAATACAGCCCGTCCTCCTATAACGAGGTAGTTGCGTTCCTGAAGAACACCGCGTTATGGAAAAATCACGTTATAATAAATAATGTATAATGTAGGATAAAGCACAGTCCGCAATAACACGTGAGATGCGTACGCAGGCTGAACAAAGACTGAGGCGCGTGGGTAGCATCTAGAAGCATCCAGCAGCATCCCAATGCCTCGTGCGATGCTACGCCGAGGCAGCCGTACAACCGCTCATTCCTACTCGGGCGATGTAATTCCGTTCACTTAATTCGCATCCGAGTTGTACAAAAATGTGTTCCCTCATAAGTTAATCGCGTTATATTCAATTCGCGTTATGAACACAACACGCCATTATAGAACGGATTGTAATGAACGCATTCCTGCGGAGGGAGCTGGTAGGAACGTTGGGTTCCTCGGTCAATGGCCAGGGTCAACGGCGGCGTGGTGTATTCCGCAAATATGGCCGACTGTGAGGGCGGGCACAAGCCGGCGTGAGTAGGTTAAACGTTGAGTTTTATAAGGGCACCACGGGGTGACCAGCCCCTTACCACCCAGCCCCACCCCTCCCACCCCCCACCCAACCCCACCCTTCCCACCCAGCCCCTCCCCAACCAGCCCCACCCCTCCCACCCCCCACCCAACCCCACCCTTCCCACCCAGCCCCTCCCCACCCAGCCCCTCCCCACCCTTCCTTCCCCTCCCAGCCCCTCCCCACCCAGCCCCTCCCTGCACGACGGACGGACGGACACAATAATCCCCTGTGGGCTGGTGTAACCAGGAGGTTCCTACCAGTAAAATGAATTTCATAGGCAGGTGACACGGCCCAGCGGCAACGCGATCGTTACTTTGTTGCAGAGGTTTGGGGTTCATATCCTGCGGCCGACCTGGTTATCACTGCAGGTGTAATAACCCTAACAATTCCACCTGCCCTCTGCCTCGCAGAGGACGTTCAAAATCCCCTGATGTAATTCCCAAGAGTCGGCCATCGTGTGGCAGAGTCAGGGTCCACATTTTCCAATTTCGATTGCGCAGATCGATCAATTTGGCAAACGATCAAACAAAGAGACGGTCACGGCATCGCACGCTTTCAGATGTGCTTCTGCGGCCGTCTGGAACGCTCTTCCTTCCTCTATAAGGAGCTATACACTTTTAAATATATGTTGAAAACTCGTTTCTTTAGAACTGCTTTTTGTGTTTAGTTTGTTGTCGTCGTCGTCCCCCCCCCACACACCTCCGATTAGCACGGTTGGCTACGTATGGTGTGAAAGAAGTTCAACATATATCGCAGGAAAACCATCACCACCTACTGGCAGATTAATGACCCAAGTCACTCTTGCAAATTAGACTATCCTGGTCGCGTGAGGACTCACCTGGTAAACCAAAAAACTGAAACGAAAAAAATTTCTAGATTCTAGAATTTTTTTTTCGTTTCAGTTTTTTCATTCTAGAAAAAATTATCCCAACGTTGGCCCAACGTCCCATGTCTACTGAGTTACGATACCCCTCCTGTACCTATGGGGGCCGTCCATAAATGACGTCACGCACCTGGGCGGGGGGGGGTCAAACATTTGTGACGATGTGTGACGAGGTGGGGGTTGAGAAATGTGACGTCACGTAAAAATGCGCAACTTTAAATAAATATAGACGACACGTTCTACTTAATTAAATCGACTTTTTAATAAATGTTTTCTTCTATAACATCAGAGTTCAGCGCCACATTAAATACGCACTACAATGACAATAGTTTAAAGCGATTTGAAGCATGTTTAAAAAAAATTGGGGGGGGGGGCAGAGCTTTGTGACGTCATATATGAGGGGGGGGTCTGACTTTTTGTGACGCCGTGTGACGAGGAGGGGGGGGGGGATAAAAAATTGTCCAAAATCGCGTGACGTCATTTTTGGACGGCCCCATGATGCACGAGGACCCATAAGCCGGCGTGATACGTTTGCCATGTGCACGATTCGGCATTGGAGAACTGAGGGCATGAGTTGATAAGGAATGTTGTATGAGGGAACAAAACACATTTCACATTATTGTTGAACCCAGCAACGTTTGTACGTGGGCTGAATTCAAACGTGGCACAAGGATTGACAATTTCGATTTAAAGCTTCTTTCGTGACTGCAGGGATTCATCTTCTTGGTTCTTTCGGTAAAGTCACGTAGAATGGAAATAATAAAATAATAAAAATAAAACATAATAAAATAATTCTCACGACGTTTCGGCCACAACGCAAGCAGCCGTCATCAGGTGGAGAACAGGTCTGTCGAGAAGACAGTCTGTTTTATTTTTATTATTTAATTATTTCCATTCTACGTGACTTTACCAAAAGAACCAAGAAGAAAAAAAGGATTGGCAATGTAAATCTTGGATCCCTCGGCAAATTGAGGGGCAAATATCTCGCCTGGTTTTGAGTCTCAGCCCACGTGGGTTTACGTTTGGAGGTTTTTTTGCAAGGGCATCAAATTCAAACTTGACATCAGATTTTAAGCAACAACAAAAACCTAATACTTGAGATTTTTTGGGCCCTCATATTTCTGAGGCCAATCATTGTTAACGATTTTTCGTTTCGTTAATCCAGTCCCACGAGGGTTTCGTTGTATCTTGGTGTGTTTGCAATGGCGTTGACATTAAACAAATGTATCCCTCATGATTTATCATCAGATACCGTTGTCACCAGAGCAGCAGCAGCAGCAGTCAGATCTCGCAAACGCAATCTTATTCATCAAACACAATAAACGTGTACACTATGAGATCTCCTTTACCAGTGGCAAAATATAGTAATAGGTTTTTACCCTTTTAACTGGTACAAAATCTGACACCTTTATACAAGGCATCATGTTTGCAATAACCTCAACACAAGAAGTCAAAATGCAAACAAAAAATAAACAACTCTGATAATGATATGCACTGTCCTTGAAGTTGATTGGTCCACACCCGAAACAGCTTTTCTGAGAGCCTAATCTCCAATCAACTTTAAGAACAGTGCATATCATTATCATCATCATCAGAGTTGTTTCTTTTTGTTTGCATTTTGACTTCTTGTGTTGAGGTTATTGCAAACATGATGCCTTGTATAAAAGTGTCAGATTTTGTACCAGTTAAAAGGGTAAAAACCTATTACTACTATTACAATAAACGTGATCAACGGCAAACCACCCTTTCTACTTGCACGAGTTTCCCCCTAACAATTGCAACTCCTGCGCTAGAAGATGAAATTGTCCTTCGAGCCGCCGACTTTCCCACCCCCCATCACGGACAGACGCGCACAGCTGACAGCCGCATCACTGGCGGAGTGATACGCCCCCCCCCCACACCACCACCCCCCACCGAGTCCTGCGCGTGCTCCGTCGTGATTCGCCCCGGCCGTGTCTCCCTGCGCGAAGAAAACGAGTGCCGGTGGCTTCATAAGCGCGTGTCCGTGCGCGCGTAACCCCCGCGCCAGCTCCTGGCACCCAGCTCCGGGCTACAGATCCCCAATCTACGGGCTCCAAGGCTCTGCTGGCACCCAGAGTCTCTCGGATCGCAAGCTCCCGGAGTCCACGGTCTCCAAGCCGGTAAGAGACCCCCCCCCCCCAGACCACGTGTTCCCCAAAGCACGTGATTGCATCACTGCGAAAAGTCGCCCCAAAACAACAAAAAAGTTGCCGGATGACGCTGGACAACGCACGGAGTTTCCCGTGCCGCACTCTATTTGCGGTCATCGGAATCTTTGTTTAGACTCTGGAGGAATCCGATGAGCCGTAAAGCTCTTGCTGTTCCCTCGCTGATGTCCAGTGGTGGCGGCTAGACATTGGAATCACTCCGTCGACTCGCCGGCAGGTCGCTTCGACAGGAACCTGCGACGGGATCGGCCAAGTCGGCGCTAGGGGCGGCGACAGAGCGCAGGGGTCAAGGTCACGGGGATGAGGAGGAGGAGGTGATGGAGGAGGAGGTGGTGGAGGAGGATGAGGAGGATTAGGAGGTGATGGAGGAGGAGGTGGTGGTGGAGGAGGATGAGAAGGAGGTGGTGGAGGAGGAGGAGGATTAGGAGGTGATGGAGGAGGATGTGGTGGTGGAGGAGGATGAGGTGGTGGAGGAGGAGGAGGTGGAGGAGGAGGTGGAGGAGGTGGTGGAGGCGAGAACAGGGCTCAGCACCCCAGTTGTGGGACACTGCTCGGCTCTGTGGGACACTGCCCGGCTCTGTGGGTCACTGCCCGGCTCTGTGGGTCACTGCCCAGCTCTGTGAGACACTGCCCGGCTCTGTGGGACACTGCTCGGCTCTGTGAGACACTGCCCGGCTCTGTGGGACACTGCCCGGCTCTGTAGGACACTTGCCCGGCTCTGTGAGACACTGCCCGGCTCTGTGGGTCACTGCCCGGCTCTGTGAGACACTGCCCGGCTCTGTGGGACACTGCCCGGCTCTGTGGGTCACTGCCCGGCTCTGTAGGACACTGCCTGGCTCTGTGGGACACTGCCCGGCTCTGTGGGACACTGCCCGGCTCTGTGTGACACTGCCCGGCTCTGTGGGACACTGCCCGGCTCTGTGGGACACTGCCCGGCTCTGTGCGACACTGCCCGGCTCTGTGCGACACTGCCCGGCTCTGTGGGACACTGCCCGGCTCTGTGGGACACTGCCCGGCTCTGTGAGACACTGCCCGGCTCTGTGAGACACTGCCTGGCTCTGTGGGTCACTGCCCGGCTCTGTAGGACACTGCCTGGCTCTGTGGGACACTGCCCGGCTCTGTGGGACACTGCCCGGCTCTGTGGGACACTGCCCGGCTCTGTGTGACACTGCCCGGCTCTGTGGGACACTGCCCGGCTCTGTGAGACACTGCCCGGCTCTGTGTGACACTGCCCGGCTCTGTGAGACACTGCCCGGCTCTGTGGGACACTGCCCGGCTCTGTGGGAAACTGCCCAGCTCTGTGGGACACTGCCCGGCTCTGTGGGACACTGCCCGGCTCTGTGAGACACTTGCAGTGAGAGTCTCTGCGGGTCGGGAATGCGCTGAGCGTTGTTGTCCAGCGCGCTGCGCTATGAATAGCGCAGCCGCGCGTGTATTGATAGCGCCGGGCACTGGCGCCTTGTAGGGTCGCCCGCCTTACAAGGCGATGGCGCTGTCCTACAGTGCCGGCTGCTCGCCCGTCCTGCTCCTATTTAAAGATTTGATGTCATTCGCCCTCGTGCGTCCGCGTAAAAGCCTTAATTGCAGGTGTCTGATGAATCATAAATTGTGTTATATTTTGCCGCGAGCTACGATGTTTTTGGAGAGAGGGTTGATTAGTTTCCATGTATCTCTTTTATGTCTGATGTAGTTTAAATCTCATGGTTTTATCTACCCAGGTCACTCTTGCGCGTGCGACTGACTATCCCCCCCCCCCATCTCTTGATTTCTCACTTGGGTTAAGCGATATGAATTTGGAAACTTGAAGCTGCTCTGTCAGCAGCCGATCCGGCTGCTACGACGGCTGGCTGGCAATGTTTTGGAAAAGTGTCCCGTGGTGAATTTGACGTTGACCGCTGCGATCTCGCCAATGCTCCCCTATCCGCTTGCGGCGGGCTCGTAACCTTGCACGGTGTGTGGGTGTCTCGGGCGCAGATCCAATGGCACCCAAAAAGAAGAGCAACAAGAAGGTAAACAAGGATGAGGTTACCGACATGTCCATCATGCAAATGCTCGCCGAAAAGGAGATCAACAAAGTCAACATCTGGAATAACCACCTGGACGAATGGAACGGACTACCCAAGGCCGTCTCCGACGTCAGCAATCCAGTGCACAGCGAGAAGCTTCTGGAAGGGCTCAAGTTTATGCAAAATGAAAAATTCCTCTGCGATTTCACACTGGTCACCAAGACAAAGTCGTTCGAGGTGCACAAAGTGGTGGTCGCGTCCTGCAGCGAGTACATCAGGAGTGTGCTGCGCAAGGACCCCATGCTTCAGAAGGTTGAGGTGAACGACGTGTCCGCCGTGGGCATGGCTGGGGTCGTCACGTACGCTTACACGGGCAGGCTCGGCCTGTCCCTCGCCACGGTGGGCAGCGTGCTCTCCTCGGCAACCCGCCTGCAGGTCTCGTCCCTGCTCAAGATGTGCTGCGACTATTTGATGAAGGAGTTGAACGTGGAGAATTGCCTCCACGTGGCCAACATCGCCCGTGCCTTTGACCTGCACAACACCAAAGATGTGGCCGAAAAGTTTCTCAGGGAGAATTTTGTCGATTTCTCAGAAACGGAGGAATTCCTTAAGCTGAGTTTCGATCAAATCAACCAGTTCCTCCAAGATGACACGCTCGAGATTAATTCGGAGCTCACCGCTTTTCACATTGCCCTCAAGTGGCTCGAGCACGACGATAAACGCCTCAAGTTCTCCGGAGATCTGCTCAGCAACATTCGATTCAGCACCATTTCAGCTCACGACTTGGTGACGTACGTGCAGACGGTGCCCAGAATGATGCAGGACCACGACTGCCACAAGCTGCTAGTGGATGCCATGAACTACCACCTGCTGCCCTACCAACAGAACACGCTTCAGTCTCGGCGGACTAAGCTGCGTGGAGGCCTCAAGGTGCTCGTGACGGTCGGCGGGCGCTCGGCGCTCACGGAGAAGTCGCTGAACAGAGACGTGCTGTACCGAGACCCCGAGATGGGCTGGGGAAAGCTCACGGAGATGGTGGCCAAAAGCTTTAACCAGTGCGTGGCAGTCATGGACGGGTTCCTTTACGTGGCGGGAGGAGAGGACCAGAATGACGCAAGGAACCAAGCCAAGCATGCCGTGAGCACCGTCTGCAGGTAACGCACTCCCACGGTGGCTAGGGAGATGTTAACTACCTCGCCTGGTATGCAGGAAGTCGTGGGTTCCATTCCGACCCTGATGCCTGCTGTATATTTGGAGTTTGCATGTGTCTCTCCCCGTGGTCACTTGGATTTTTCTCAGTTTTTTTCTCCCCACATTTACGAACATGCTTTTTAGAATATCTGGCTGCTATACATTTCCACGTGATAAGCCGCTTTGTTGAGCTATCATATGTGGCGAGGTCGCATCTGAAAAAGAGCTCTACAGCCCAGCAGCCGTAACTCTGACATCATGCATGGTGATGCCGATGCGCTTCAATCGTGCCGTTTTTGACATTAAATCATCGCTGCCGTTTTCCCTGCGCAGGTACGATCCTCGTTTCAACAACTGGATCCAACTCGCGAGCATGAGCCAACGGCGAACCCACTTCAGCATGAGCGCCTTGAACGGGCAGCTCTACGCCATCGGTGGTCGCAACCTGGAGGGCCCCCTGCTGGCCGTCGAGTCCTACGTGCCGGCCGTCAACCAGTGGCAGCCCAAGGCCGCCCTGGATGTGGCGCGCTGCTGCCACGCCAGCGCGGTCTCCGACGGCAATATCCTCGTCACGGGCGGATACATAAGCAACGCGTACTCGCGCACGGTGTGCGCCTACGACCCCTCGACGGACCGGTGGCAGGAGCGCGCGAGCCTGAGCACCCCGCGCGGCTGGCACTGCTCGGTGTCGCTGGGCGAGCGAGTGTTCGTGGTCGGCGGCAGCCAGCTGGGCCCGCGGGGTGAGCGCGTCGACGTGCTGACGGTGGAGGCGTTCAACCCGTTTTCGAGCCAGTGGAGCTACATGGCCCCCCTGGCCATCGGCGTGAGCACGGCGGGAGCGACGCTGCTCAACCACAGGCTGTACGTGTGCGGCGGCTGGAACGAGGGCGAGAAGAAGTACAAGAAGTGCATCCAGGTGTTCGACGCGGAGAACAACGAGTGGGCGGAAGAGGACGAGCTGTGCGACGCCGTGGTGGGCGTCTCGTGCTGCGCGCTGCTCATGCCCCGCCGGGGCCTCCGCGAGTCACGTGCCAGCTCAGCGTCTTCCGTGCCTCTCAGCATCTAACGCCGCCGTCGGGGATGAGTGGGGGGGATCCACAGCCTCGTCACCGTTATTGTACCTGCGTGGTTAGAACTCCCCGTCCTCCCCCCCCCTTATCTGCAAATCGTCTTGCCGGTGAGGGCATTAGTAGACCCGCCGTTCTGCCCCTTTGTCTATGGAGGGAGCATTTGCAGATAAGATGGCCGATAGATTTCAACAGCAAAAAGTTAGCGGCACTTGCAATATTGCGACCCTGGTGAAGATTCCATGGCATGGTACAGCAGCTCCCCGGGTTTAATGGATTTTCCTGCACCGCGTCGTGTGGTGGGATGTGGTGCATCCCCACGATTAGCACAGAGATATCGTGACTGTCTGTGCACAAAGGCTCCTCTAACCCCGTATCTCTTGTTTACCTATGCAGAAGAGAGAATTATTAACAATAAAAAAATACGCCACTTTTGCTCGGTCTATATTTGCGTGGATATGTCGTGAAAAAAATTCAGCAAACAAGGTCCTAGGCTTTGGCAGCACTGGGTGATTATGTCCACCATGTGGCGTGGCACTGACGATGCCATGAGGAACCAGGCAAGCGCAGCCCGTAGGGTTTCTGGGATTTACCCGTATTCACGTATATTTTTCACGTGTGACGTCCTCCATTCGTCCATCTGAGCGAAGTTCTTTGATAGCGTATGCAATTATGCTGTGCACACATTTAGGGAAATGGTATCCGATTATAAATAAAATGCCTGACTTGAAGTAATCTGGCAGTCCTGTGCCCATCCCCCCCCCCCCATCTTCCATCTGTATACATAAAAAAAAACTACCTGATATATTGTTTTATCTTTTTGTTATGAAAATGTATTTCAGTTTTAGAATCCTTTTTGGAGTTGTGCTTTGAGTTTTCTAAAATGACACCAAATTTTGCCTTTTGTCAGTTAATACTGCCGTGCAGACTTAATTCATCGTTTTAACACGTTTGTTTTTTCAAATTTTCTCACTTTTATTCATCACAATGTGAAATGACGCTAGCGATGTTCTAACCTCGTGTCCCGTGCCTGAGCTGCAGGCCATGATGAGAGCAGTGCCCATGCGAGAACTTCCAGCCATGCCCCCCCCCCTTCATGTCCCTATCGTCACCACCACCGCCACCGCCAGCATCGGCACAAGAGCAACGCGGTCACCACAGCCAATGCCTATTGACGTTACCACACCTCACTGTCACTTCTGCCAAACCCGGTAGCCGTTGAACATCCAGTTGCCGAACTCGAAGCACCTCCGATTAGCACGGTTGGCTACGTACGGTGTGAAAGAAGTTTAGCACGCACGCATACATCATATAGTCGCCATTGTCCATCTCTGTAAAGTGTTTTCTGGACTGTGGTCCATGAGATGGTACGTACAACCATGGCCCACGACTCGGTGTGGCTCTATGGCTGTGACCTGCACAGACATTACACATTTGGCCCCCCACCATATTGATTAACGACCTCTGCCCCAGCAGGAAAACTGGAATCTTGAATAACACGTAGGCTTTCGCGACCAATATTCATAATCAACGTTTTTGGGTTTAGATCGCGTTATTTATAAATTGTAAATGTTGTGGTTTCACGCTTCAACACACCGGTGGGCTAAAGCAGTGAACTATTTGTCTTTTGTCAACGTGACACTTTTTTATTGATTGGCCGTGTCGGGTGGTAGAGGGTTACGACACATTTATAAATAACGCGATCTAAACCCAAAAATGTTGATTATGAATGGAATCTTGAATGTTGGTACGAGGGGACGATTTTGGGGTGGTGGATGGTTTATATGTACACTTTCATGGTGGGGATTTTATGAAACAGGTGGCCTGTTCAATCTTGATTTGAAGCTTTTGTGACTGCAGGAATCCATAAACTTTGCTTCTTTCGGTAAAGTCACGTAGGTATAAAATAAAATGAATCACGACGTTTCGGGCACAACACAAGCGTCCATCATCAGCGTAAGGTGGCCTGTTGCCATGCACAAGGACCAGGATAGTTCTGATAACTGAAGCAGTGCTAATTTAAGTTAATTATCTAACTTGAACGAATGAGTGAATGGTATATGCCTGGGCATGTTAACTTCTGAAGTAATAATATATTGTCTACTTTTAACAGCATCCTAAACCAATTCACGTTCTCTATCCATTCTGTCTAAAGGTGATGCCTTTAACCCGGTGAGATGATCTCTTTTACAAAGGAGATCTTATAAAAAGAAGTGGTCTCACCTCTGCGGCAGAGCCAGAGCTTCATCTCGTATGGCTACATTTTTTACGGAATATTTCATGTAGAGTTTAATGATGGAATATTTTCATGAACTCGCTCCTATCGACCCCAGGACAACTCCAGCAGATATTTAGCCCTGGCCATGGCTATGTATGTACGCATGTGATTTCGTTTTTGGGTACAATTTAAACATTCGGGATTTGGATTTGCATTATGCACATTGTGGTGTCAGACAATTAAAATAATTTTTGAAAGCCATTGTCCGTCCCACAGTGATTTCCCACAGAAGTTATTGGGCAGTTGTGCATTTGGTTGACACGAAAACCCCGGCGCCGAGGTGAGTGTTTCAAGTTTCATTTTCAAGTTTCAATTATTAGGTATAGCCCTGTGAGCCATTCGGTTCTTGAATCGGGTGCCGCCGCAACAAACAAAAAAACATGAACAAGAAAACATCTTAAAGTGAATATGAAGCGGGCTCCTCGGCTGGCTATCTGCCCTGGTCCCCACATTCGCTGTTCTTCGACCATTTCAATGGTCGAACCTAGCTTTCGATGCTTCCGGAGCGTCAGGTTTCTCCGAACATTTCCCACCCCATACCATTCGCTGATTAATGCGACGAGCAAGTGGTCAAAACGAGTTTTAGAAAGGCATTTGACATTGCGGTTGCACCCCGTTGTGTTGTACTGGAGTTGTACTTTCTAATTTACAGCTACCCACAACCACAAGCGGCCTCGCGTGTATGTACTCATCTATCGCGAGGAGCATTGCCGTACCGCTTGTCAAATCGAAACACAAACGCACCGTGGCGTTACGGACGGACCTGACGGCCCCATTTCAGTGGCTTTTCTCGTCTCTGACCCGTCCCCTCCTCGACCGTGCCCCTCTTGCACGCCGGTCACCGCACGTGGCCTGGACCTCTGGTCTCCAGTGACCGGGCGCTGGGCACGTCTTAGCATCGTCCCTCGTGCTGTGCTTCTTAACAAATGCGTGTTTCTGTGATTGTTGAGTTAATTTATTGTGCTAGGTTTTCCTTGAGAATAAATCGATGTTTCATTTTAAGACGACATTCGTACGGAAAATCATTGCCACGGAACATCGGTTGCGTTCACTCCCAAACGAGTCCTGTAAAATCTTGCCTTAAAGCTTTCGTGACTGCAGGAATCCACACTCTTTGGTTATTTCGATAAAGTCAGGTAGATAGAAGATTATTAATAGATAACGACGTTTCGATCGCACCTGAAGACGGTCGAAACGTTGTGATCTATTAATAATTTCATAGAAGATTATTAATAGATAACGACGTTTCGATCGCACCTGAAGACGGTCGAAACGTTGTGATCTATTAATAATTTCTTATCTACGTGACTTTACCAAAAGAACCAAAAAGTATGGAGTCCTGTAAAACTATCACGGAATTGCTTTCGTTATTTTACACCCACGTAAGTGGAAACTTATCACAGTTTGCTGCACCTGTGAATTACACGTTTTATGTTGTCGGGTAAGGAGATTTACGACGTCCCTTGCAGCTGGCATGCCAGTTAACTAGATTGATATGTTTGTGTTGATGCTTTGACAGATTTATCACCACGGCGAGTAGGTGTTTTATATCTAATTATAAACTGCAGAGCAGAAGCCACGAGACCAGGGCTCGGATTGTGTCTCGTGAAATCAAAGCGAGGGTCGTGACCGCTGAAGCCAATGCCAAGAAAAGTGTCCGACGCAAACTCGATGGCCGTGTTATTCGCTCTCGCGTTGTTTACACAGTGAGGGTGAACGCAGGAAAGAGTCTCGCTGGGTCCCACATTCTATAGGAAGGTGCTGCACTAGTGTGGTTGACCAGTCAATGAACGAGTATTTAATGTTGTGCTTTTTTCTTTAAACATATCAATTGTAGGTTATATTCTTACTTGATACAACTATCGTGCTGTGACGGTTCCACCTGAAGACGGAAGCTTGTGTTGCCTCCGAAACGTCGTGATTTTTATTTTATTTTTATTTTACTTTTATTAATTTTAATTTTTTACCTACGTGACTTTACCGAAAAAACATAAGAATATGAATCCTTGCAGTCACGAAAGCTTCAAAGCTAGAATTGTAGGTTAACCCCGAACACGTTTTAAATTAAGACCTTTATAATCGCATTCATCTAATCCCATCTTCCTTTCGCCTGACCGTCAGTGGAGCGGCGTTCTTCATTGCAAGGCCCCTGACGTGCGCCCCCCGAGACAATAATCTTTTCGGCGAAATTGCTTCCTCTCTCTCTCTCTCTGAAAATGAGTTCAGGACGCCGCTGTAGACGCACTCCGCTGTACGTGACGTTGACGCTGAAGACGTCGCTCCAAGACCACTCGGCGTGCCACGTGGCCATGCCCCGGACAGATCGAGGAGTTGACCCACCTCGGGGTGGGGTTGGCTGTGGAGTTCGTGTGCCTGAGCGATTTGCGCAAGGCAGTGGCGTGGAATGTAACTGCGCTATCAGCTCAGGGCGGTGCCGGCAATCGATCAGGCGCGGGGCCCCAATACTTTTCAAATAATCTCATGGTGGTTTTAAGGGGCCCACCAATTCGTAGCTTTGCCCACCAGGGGGGGGGGGGCAAGGCACCGCCTGCAATGACTGAAAAAAAATTAACCCGTAAAAACAAAGTTTTTCACTATAAATCCTTTATATGCGTGGCGGCTAGAGTCATCTCGTCCTCTGGCTTGAGATGGCTGCCACCTATGGGTCAGATGATTGCCTGCCACCATTAAGCAATTGGTAATTAAATATAATGTATTTTTTCATAAAAAGTGTAAAATTTTGGAAAAAAAATTGTCACGCACAACGAGTCTGTGTGCAAAATGTCAGCTCGATTGGATCACGGGAAGTGGGTTAAAAAACGACCGAAAGATTTGCACGGTCGTAAGCGCGCAAGCAAGCAAGCAAGTGAACTTAATATAAAGGATTTAAAAAACAGCGGAATTCGGCAACATGCAAATGACACAATGTGTACGGCAGGTATCGACAGCGAAACGCCAACACGTAGACAACTATGGCACTGTTCGCGAAACCCTCAGCGACGCCGCGTGTACACAGTTATCGTGTACACAGTTATCGCTCATCCCTCTCGTCGCGAGGCTGGGTCAGTGTGGCGATACCGTCGCCTGTATATTTTGGAGTCTGCGGTGTCTCTCTCCTCGTGGTCGCGTGGATTTTTCTCTGGGTCCTCGGGTGTTTCACTCCACGTTTAGAATCAACATCACGCGTTTAGAGTATTTGGCTGCTTGATTTGAAGCTTTCGTGACTGCAGGAATCCATAGTCTCTGGTTCTTTCGGTAAAGTCACATAGATAGAAAAAATAATGAAAGAAAACACGTTTCGGTCGCAACACAAGCGTCTGTCTTCGGGTGAGAAATAATGTTCTGCTGTTGTACAGCCGAAACGTCTTGTTTTCTTTTATTCGTTTTTCTATCTACGTGACTTTACCGAAAGAACCAGAGAGTATTGGGCTGCTATTAATTTCCACGTGATAAGCACATCGTTGAGATATCATTATCTAAAAATAGCTACATAGCTCAGTGGACCGTAACTGGTATCTAAAAATAGTTTTTAAATAAATGGTTTAACCTGTAGCCTCGTCATAGGGCTCGACATCCTCATGACCCATCCCGCTGTTCGTGGTCACATTGGCCCGGTCAGATGGTCCGATGCAGAGGCTCACGGTTCAACACCAGCGGCCACCCTGGTTATTACCGCCGGTGTAATAACCCTGCTAATAAGTCTCGCCATCTGCTTGCCAGTCAACGTTCAAGATTCCTTGACTTCATTCGCAAGAGTAAGCCATTGTGTGTCAGCGTCAGGGTTCACATTTTCCAAACGAGAAAATCGCACCGCACATTACTCAATTGGGGATGATACACAGCCACATCACCCCCTCAATTGGCAGACTCGTGCACAGGGACAGCTGCCACCGGGAGTGCCCCTAAGTTAGACCACAAAGTCGCAACCATCACCCCCTACTGGCACACTAATGACCCAGATTATTTTCGCAAATGATAATCATCCTGACCTCTTGAGTCTCACCTAGTTTTTGCAGGATAATCAGTTTCCAAGGGCGAATGTGAGTGAGTATTGCCCTTCAATACTCACATTCACCATCTTCCAGTGAGGGCCCACACGAATCCACCTGCTGCCCGACCTCGAAGACAGACCGCATGTCGCCAGGGACCAAACCTAGGCCCTCAAAATGCTACTATTATCAACATTCACAACACATATCAGCATCTTCTTGGTTCTTTCGGTAAAGTCACGTAGAAGGGAAATAATAAAATAATAAAAATAAAACATAATAAAATAATTCTCACGACGTTTCGGCCACAACGCAAGCAGACAGCTGTTTCCCCGACAGACCTGTTCTTCGCCTGAGGACGGCTGCTTGCGTTGTGGCCGAAACGTCGTGAGAATTATTTTCTTATGTTTTATTTTTATTATTTTATTATTTCCCTTCTACGTGACTTTACCGAAAGAACCAAGAAGATGAATCCCTGCAGTCACGAAAGCTTTAAATCGAAACATATCAGCATGTTCATCATCCCCTCAACGTGTATGTGGCCACAATGAACTGTGAATATGGGGGGGGGAGAGAGAGATGTGGGTCGGGGGGGTTGGGATTGTACGGACAGAGAGAGAGACTGGGAGCTGTTTGGGAGAGATTGGGGGGACAGGGTACGTCGAGCAGAGAGATGACGAAGCGCCCACTAAAATAGCGCGGTGCTCGTTGGGGATTGTGATCTCTGCTATTTATTCCTGGTCCGGCAGAGTCAGCACCCAGCACAGCCCAGCTGAAACTGGTCAAGGAAAAGTCACAGACGACTCCGAATATATCCTGGCGTGGGGTTGGCAAACTTTGAAAACGTTGATACTTGCAGACTTTTAAAATAGATGTTCATATAAATGCCGTGAAACACATCAATTGGTCAATTCGGAGTTTTATTCTTTAAACTGTTGAGGCCGAGCTTCTGTCAAAACGCCGAGTTTCAACCTCGACTCAATGGGGAGGTCGCTCCTTCTGCTCTGCTGCTCTCCTCATAGTCGGGAACTCTCTTCCCCGAAACATCCGTGCTGTTGACTCCCTGTCCCTGTGTAGAGGAGTAAAATTGGGACGTGACGTCAGGTGTGCCGTTGAGTGCGATGACATCACGTCTCCTAGGGTACTTAAGGGAGACCTTGTGACGTAAGCGGGGTCACTGTGGGAACGGGGAGAGTAGGAAGGGTGAAGAGGGAACCAGGGGTAGAGAGAGGGATCGAATAGTGAGTCTGGGGAGAAGCCGGTGGTAGCCGTAGAGGTGCTTCTCTCTCCGCTCGGTGGAGTCGGCAGAGTCCTCGATCCGACACGAGAGAGAGAGAGAGACCGGAGCTATATTCTTAGGTTTTTTCGGTAAAGTCACGTGGGTAAAAAATTAAAATTAATAAAAGTAAAATAAACTAATATATATTTTACTTTTATTATTTTAATTTTTTACCTACGTGACTTTACCGAAAAAAACCTAAGAATATGAATCCTTGCAGTCACGAAAGCTTCAAATCTAGAATTAAGACCGGAGCTATCCGGCAGGGACCCGGACTCAGAGTAGGACCCCTAGCCCCTGGGAGTTGTGCACCCTGCTGTGTAATATTGTAACAGCTTTAATAAACCCTGGCGGAAGCCCTTAACTTACCTCCGTCTCCGAGTGCGTCCGACGGAACATCTCTACACCTGTTGAAGGGTCGACTCAATATTCCCTTTTTATTCCGCCTATGACTGCTTCGTTCTCTCTATGTACAATGCATATGCCCGCTGTCTCTATACAGCATCGTTAGATACTACAGATGCTGTATATACCCTTCTGGTATTGTCAGGAAACGTATTTGTTTTGTCACAATCGTCATTGCTATTTTAGACTCGTGTCTTGAATGGGACGAGAGAGAGACACGCTATCTTTTTCTCCAGATTTTGCCGCTAGGTGGCAGACACATCGCGTTGTTTCGTATCGGCGGCACCATGGCACTTTCGAAGAGCAGCGAGCTGCCGTTACCTCGTTGG